ATATATATATATATATATATATATATATATATATATATATATATATACGGACTGTTCACTACCTCGATTTGAAATTAAATATGCAGAGTTCAATGGCGTAGCATTCATCCGCAGTTGTTTCTGGGTATATATCTTTTTTTTAATATGTTTCTTATTTGAAAAAAACAAAACCTGTCTGAAAATGATTAAATTAATATGACCCATTCTTATGTCTGTACGAAAAACATGCTGAGGATTATGTTCTTAATACGAGACGTAAACATCTGATCCGTATTATTTGCATGGGCTCGGAGGGACGACCTTGCATTAAAGGCTAGAACTGCACGCCAAATTGAATCCGTAAATACATCTCAGGATAATACAGATTATCCAGAAAAGAATCGACAACAATCAACAGGAAAAGTAGCCGAAAGCTGAAGCCTTTTTTTTTCAGATGTTTCTGGCAACACATCCTCCTGACTGACCTCATTCATATTCATGGCATGGTCCTGAGCGTGTGGGGACACAGGTTTACACATTACCGACGCCCCGGCTCTGAGTTCAACTCCCACACATTCCGGTCAGCCATTGACCTTTCTACCCAGTCAGCCATCACACTGAGTCACCAAACCTCTAGCTGGTACTCTCAAAATAAATGAATGCCACAAGTGGCTGTAAAGAAAATGTCAGAATTAAGAAATGGTTAATTTTGTTGCCCTGAATGTTTTTTTTTTCAGCTTGGCATGCATGAATTATGAAATGATCTGTAAAAATCGTTAAAAAAGGTTATTTATGACATTGTAACTGGTACTGGAGCTGCTGTTTTTCAGTTTGTGCATTAGGTAGGGTGGACACACCTTTTAGATACATTTTAGAAAGTTGTTAAAAGTGATACAACTGCAGTGAAAGTGGAACCTCTCTGCCTGTGTGGTCGTGTATGTGTGTGACTCTGTAGGTATTTGGGTGTGGTGGCACCTAGGTGCTGTGTTTTCTCACCATAGTTTGAGTTAGTGACATACCCCGAAGATGAGGTAGACGAACTATAGAACTATAGAGACCTTTATGGAACCAACTTGACTACCGGTTGTGTTTTCGTGAATGTGTGTTTTTTTTCCTCAGATCAAAGCTGAATTCAAAGCTCCTGCAGACCTTCTATGCATCGCCCATGCAAACACCAATGTTCCGATGGGCCGCCCTTCTTTACGCCCCGTGTCGCTTCACACGAGCTCCCGACATTCTGCAATCTGGCGCCAAATGGAGCGCGGCGGAAGCGCCTTTGATGCGTGCCCACAAGTCCGTCTGTCGGAGTCTGAAGTTTTACAGCCGTGCTTGTCAAAACTGTTGATTCACCATCACTTTTGCAGAAGACGAACGGTTCTGAAACGGGTGTCACACAAGTGCCAATGGGCTGTATTACACAGCTGCCTCTCATCACGTCACAGGGCCTTGGTGAGAGCCAACGTCTTCTGTCGGTCTGACCCGCATGCAAAGAGAGAGTGCTGCCCTCCTTTGGCTGGAGGTGTTGAGGAAAATAGGGCAAAAATAGATATTAGCCAAGATGGAAAGAATTTCTGTCTTACTAAAAAGTGTATACTGGAAAGCACAAGAAGCGCTTTCACATGGGGTGACTGACGACTTGTCGAGCCATCTTTAGGGCTTACTCTACATTGTAGCTACAATTTGAGATGCATCAGCCAGATCTAAAGAAGTCCAGTGGGACTCGTGTGTCCTCCTTAAGCAGTCCTATCACATCCAGTACGTTCCAATGCACCCTCTGGGGCAGACACAAGTTAGACTGGACGTGTTTTTATCCCCACAGCGGCAGAGTTATCTGGCTTTTTTTTTTTTTTTTAGCTATTGATGCTAAGCGCTGGACATTAATCTGCTCCGCGAGGAACGCTTTGAAGAAAGTGTCCGTTGAAGTGTCACGAATGGGGAAATAAATGAAATTAATAAATATGTGGTACACAGTTTGATATCTCTTATAGGCCAAGATCAAAGCGAACCAATTGAGTTCTATTCTACCTAATATGTTTTGCTGTGATAAACAGTCCGGCTGAGGGAATAATCCCATCAAGCAAGAGAGAGATTAAAAAAAAAAAAAAGCATCAGATATATCACTCAGCGCAGACGGTCGGCAGGGCTACCGTGATGCCTCTGTGTTATTATGGGATTGGTAATCTCATTTCTTGGGTCTGAGTAGGAACGCAGACCTTTTTTGAGCCTCGTGGTTTTCCTTCTAGAATCAGGTACAGAGACGGAGACACAGCGGCCTTCTGATACTGAGAGTCCATCTGCTTCAGAGGGCTCCGGTAACTTCTTGTCTTTCCTTTTTTTCTGTGGAATTTCTGAGTAGCTTGATGTTTCCGACATGTGTGTGACGGCCCTGGTTTGTGTGCGATTGGCGTTGAGGCATCATGCTCACTACCCCGGCTACGTGTTTTTCTTTTGGGATGGCCATGTATGTGTGTGTGTATAGCTATTGGAGCCTTAGACACACACACACACACACACACACACACACACACAGTGTGAAGGCACACTTTTGCGCTTGTGTACACAGCGGTGGTGTGACCAAAGCAAGACTGTAAGGATTTTACTTACAGCAGATGGATGCCAGGATATGGATCTGTACAGGCTCACAGCAGCGCACGGATAAAAACACACACACACACACACACACACACACACACACACACACACACACAAAGACAGACAGACAGACAGACAACACTCGCCCAGAGCCTCACCTTGATATCTTGAGCTTCTGTCATGAGTTCGAATTTGACACCAATGAATGTGTGTCAGGTTGTCAATTTCTTCCAACAGCCTTTGAATGCAGTCTGGCCATGAATAGTGCATGTTGTTTTGTTTTTTTACATTCCAACTGTCTGCGAGTCTGTTTTTGTTTGTTCCGGAATAACTTGGAAGGCCTGTACACTCATGTGCATCCTTTAAGAAAACTTTTCAGCAGGTGTTGTGTTGTTTAGCCTAAGGTAAAGACTCAGCCCTGAAGGTAAATTCACCAAACTGCTTCTGATCTGATGCCCTCCCATTTCTTCCGCCTGCGTTACTGGGCTCTGTTTCCCTCCCTCCTGTCTTGAATGCACACACTTCACCGCTTGCCCTCTTTTTTTTTTTTGATCTAGACCCCGTTTGAGTCAGGACACGCATCCTTTCATACCTGCACTTTAATGTTATTAACAGGACATTTTATTTCACTCTTAAAGTCGGGACATGTTTTGGCAGCCGGTTCCCATATTCCCTGCGGTGTGCCGCATGAGGTCTTTGGCATTATTAGGGCAGTTGAAATGCGAGACGCCTGTTGTAAATGTCTCGGAAATATACATGGGGTCGTCTCTCCTCAAACCGTCACGACTGCGCGGTTGTTGCGGCCATTCATGCAAAACTTTTAAAGATGTAAAAAGGCAGTGGCATGTCGGTGATATTCCTCCTTCCCCTGCTGCTGAGACACCATGCGACGCTGTGTGTGTGTGTGTGTGTGTGTGTGTGTGTGTGTGTGTGTGTGTGTGTGCGCGTGTGCGCGCACCTGTGGGGAATGAGTATGAGGGTCTGAACCCACATACGCGTACAGATACAACGCTTTCGCACAAGCACATACGGAAGGCAGGGTGGGGGAAATAGTTGTGGAATTTATTTGGGCATATAGTTTTCATGCCAGTTGCCACTGGATTTACAGGTCAGAATGGAATGCGTCCCAATGAAAAGTACTTTGATCCCTCCACCAGGTTGACGTTTTTATTGGGCGAGCTCTGTATGGCACAGGGCATCTTTTATTAGGTTGCGAGGAACCCCGTGGCAGCCTTCACGAAATCATAAAAATGTGAGACGTCAATGAAAATGACCAGGTTCCAGTGCTATCTCTGCTTGTTGTTTGAGAGCTTCATTTGTTCAAACTAATTTATTTATTTGATCCCCAAATAACAAATTGATTTTAGTTGAACAGTTTGTTCTTGTTAGTCCGTATACTCCAGTATGTGACGCTATTGTACATTTCACACTGTTTATTTCTAACGGATATATTTATAGTGAGGCAAGGTACGATGGTTGGAAATGTATTCATGTCCCGCGAGGCAAAGGCAGTCTTGTATTCAAAGATTGTGCTTCCAGTACTTTAAAATAAAGTGCCACAGTGGAAGTGGCAGTAGAGCCAGACTCTGACTTATGTAGGCCACACAGGCCCATAAGAGATGTGTGTCTCACACACTCTTATGTCTTTCTACAGTTTCTTATGCCAGGAAGTAGTGAGATCATTTTCTAATTTGTGACCAATCACAGCACCTTGGTGTGGATGCTTTACAGAAGTCACAGTTTGCCCCTAACACCATCTCCGCAATTCCCCAAAAGTAATACACTGTTTATATTTTAATAGAGGCATTTGATAACTTAGACACCAGAGTACGTAAAAAAAAAAGAAATGCACTAGCTACATGCAGAAGGTTCCTGCTGCTACTTATCAGCCTGTTTTACTGTGTTGTGTTTCAAAGAGGCGGAAGCTACTGCAGGAGTTGGGAGACCAGAAGATCCCCTTTCTGGGACCTGCAGATCGGGGCTATCAGCAACTGGTGAGCCAACCACACTTCGGCATTATGCTACTGATATGAGCTCCACTTTAAAACAGCCTACAGCGGCCTTTTGTCTTCTATAACCTGCTCTTACAGCCCTGTAATGTGTAATAGTTTGCTCAAGATTGGAGCAAGAAGCATGCTTTCCAAATCAGATTGTTATTTCCTTTTGTTTGTTATGTTTGTGTGTGTCATGATCATCCTGATAAGAATGTCTTGTGTTCCCAAGTGGGACTCCAGTTACTCCGGCCTGGTTCTGAGGAGATCCCTCTCGCTGCCCGCCGAGCTCCATGGTCGGGTGCAGACGGCTCTGTTCACCCTGAGAAGGAAGGGCTGCCTCCTGAGAGATTTGGTTCGCATCCGTGAACGAGATGTGTTCACCGCCGTGTCACGGACTCTGCTGGGTGAGCCGGGCCACACCTATCGCTATCTGGACACACGGCTCTTTGCCATCCCCTGGCACAGCGAGGACACCGAGCTCAAAGGACAAAACTGTTGTGACCCGGATTTCAGGGCTGCTTGCAAGGCATTGTGTGAGCTTAACACCTTCTTCTGCTCCGATGTGTCTCTGCTGAAGGAAGGAGACAGGCTTACACAAGGTGCGAAGGGGGAGGCAGAGGCCAAACAGGGTGAAGAGGGGGACACAGGGTCTAAACACAGCGAAGACTCCAAAAATAGTGAAGGAGGGGACTCTGAGTCCCGACAGAGTGAGGAGGGGGACGCGGAGTCCAAGCACAGCGAGGAGTGGGACATTGAAGAAGAAGGTTGCTCTGGGTCGAAACAAGAAGGCGAATGGGAGACGGAGTCCAAACCCAGCAGTGAGGAGGGAGAGTCCCGCCAGGTCAAACCGAGCGAATCGGCTGTCGCAGCAGGATCGGAGCACAGCGAAGGAAGACTCCCCGGCTGGGCGCCTAAGGCCGTCGGTGGCACAGAGATTAAACCTGCGGGACTAGGGGCCCCGGAGAAACCTGTGGCGCAACTCAAGCATAGCTTGTCAGATCACCACATTAAAGACAGGGACGAACAGGCAAGCGGGCTGGGGTGTTCCCAGCCGAGTCCTCGACAGGTATGCACCGGTCCGGTCAAGTTCAATGTCACCTTACTCAACTACATGGACCCAGCGGCTATGAGCCAGCTCAAAGAGGAGCCTTACTATGGCATGGGGAAAATGGCAGTAGGGTGGCACCACGATGAGAACCTCATCAGTCATTCTCCAGTGGCTGTTTACAGCCATAGCTGTCACAATGACAAAGGTAAGCGTCAAAGCTAAAATAGCTTAAAATTGTGCAAATTGGATAACAATAGTTGAGATCCCGAGATTTAACACTTTCGGCACTTAAATCCAAAGTATGTCATGTTGTTTCTGAAATTAATATTCCGTTTTTCTCTCTCCCTTCAATATCCCATCAACGTATCTCAGTGGCTTTGTGGCGGATCAGATACAGCTAACCTTGTGTATTATGGCCTTGCAGCAGCACGGCAGCAGCTGTAGACACGGCCTCTGGTGAGGCAGCCATCAGATCCATCTACGTGATAGTGTCAGGGCATTATCAAATGTCATCAGCGGCTCGCTGCTGACAGCCTTATCGCCGAGCGAGCGTCGGGAGATCACAGACATGTGGATCTGAGCTCTTAACATGCACTGAATGGCGCAGTCTTAACAAACAGGCCTTATCACACACGCCGCATCTCATCTAAATCGTTTCCCCGAGAAATGATCGATGTGCAATTATCTGATATGGAATAATGAGCCCTGCTTTGATAAGTGTTCCTGGACTGTATACTGTATGGATGATACGACGTCTCCTAATTATGGAATGTGCTCTCTTTCAAGAGCTGATAGTGCGTGCTGATCGAGTTGATAGAGAATCTCAGTGAGAGAGGAACATCGCTTTCTAGAGCAAAGCAACTATGGTAGATTAAATTACCCACTATACTAATGATTAAAGAAGCTGCTCTTTGTCCTTTGCTCTCATATTAAAGTCCCTTTGAGCAGCCACTCACCAGATCATTCCTTGCACCTTCCACAGGCTGGAAGGACAGCAGAACATGCTCTCCTGTTGTGGAGGCAGATACATGTGCAGCTGTAGTTCAGCATGTACTGTGCTGTCAACAGCGGGAGCTCTGCCTGTTTTACTGGCTGTACGGTCTTGCATCTGTGTCGTAAAAAACTGTAATTTTACAATATCAAACAGGTGAGATGCCAACTGCTCTGACATCCCGATCCACTTTACAGCTGCGCTTTCTTCATTGTGGTTTCTTAACCAGAAACACCTGCTACAGCGGCCTGTTTCGATGATTTGTTCTAGGCCATTTCAACTCTGACCCTGTGAACACGAGCTTCAAACACCGCGGCAGAACACCTTGCAGTGCTCAGCAGCTGCGTCTTTTTCTAGTCCTGAATGACCCCACAGCTCCAGACTTTAGAGGAAAGTCTGATGGAGCTCTGAGGACTCCCAGAACCAGGCTAATGAAATTGTTACCTTAGGGAACGTTGCACTTTCACAGTAAGGTCACGTTTCTTAAATTGTCCCTGAGAAGAAAGAAACACAGTACATTAGATACCTTAGATGCACAGTGATTAGATGTTTTGCATCACACCTGCTCCCTTTGTTAGGCTTTTTTTTTTCTTTCTCTTTAAACAGCCTCACCTAGTTTTTCAGCCAAGTGGAGTGTTCTGAGTGTTTTTCCCAGCTGCGCTGATCCAAAGGAATCTGCCACGACTGAACATTTTCCGGCAGAGAGGATGATATTCCACCATTCCCGGGGCCTTGGGGAGTGCTGCCATTAGCTGGCTCTCAGAGCACAATGGCTGGAAATTAAGTTACTATTTATCCGTGCTGAGCAAAGGAAAAGGCAGCTGTGGGGCAGAGAGGCCCAGAAAGACTTTAGTATTGATTTTGCTGAAGGGTGTTGGCCAGCCAGGCCAAATCTTGTTTTCTTAGTGTGCCGTGTAAGAATGGAAGGAGAGAGAAGAACAGGGGAGGTGGTCACAGCGAATGGGTTCAGAAACAGGAATATCATAGGATACCTGCTGTCCAATAACACCGTCACACACACTCACTAAACAACATCAAGGGCTTTTATCCAACTATTTCCTCTTGCACAGCACAATGATGGCATAAAGATCCGTTGCTAACAGCCAACACATATCATCTTCGCTCAGCTGTTAAGTGATTCTCCCCTTTTAGAGACAAAGGCTTACATCTTACAGCCCTTGTTTGAGTGGTGTGGTTTTAATCATTGCACTCCTTACTATTTCATTTTATTCATTCATTTTGGCTACATTTAAGGCATTGTTATAGCGTTTTAGCACCGCATTACCCAGATATCACTTGTATTTTCAGATGTGAAAAAAGCGGTTGGGATTAATATTGTGTTAAATAGCCGTCATTCTATGGCGATAAACCACGTGAAAATGTGAGGAATTTAAGCCTATTGCACTTTTACACTCAGTTTAAGTCACGCTGGGTGAAACTGTCAAACCAAACGCCTGAAATGTGAATATAAATGTAAAATGCAAATGTTACAGTGAGTCGGGCTGTGTGTGACTGACAGGTGAGAGCAGTGAGGGAGGCAGCGGTGAGGAGGCATGCTGGAGGATCGGGCTCAAGGTAGCCTGGGACATCCGCACACCTGGCCTGACGCTGCCGCTGGAGTCTGGAGACTGCTATTACATGAGAGGTACTAAATCTTCCCCCGCATGCACATGTAAATACGTCGCCCACACAACTTTCGCCGGTGTGTCTGACTTAGGAGGAAGGAACACGTTTATTACCCCGCGTTTGAGTGTTGCTTGTACTTTGTCCCAAATGACCCATGCCAGCAGGATGCACTTCCCACTCACGCTTTATTCTCTTCTTCTAACCCTCTCCGCAGGAGAAGTGGAGCTGAGGTGTGTGTGTGTGTGTGTGTGTGTGTGTGTGTGTGTGCGCGTGTGGTGACTTGGCCTGAACACGGAGCTTTAAGGTTCCATGAAATTGTGTGCATTAGAGAGGTTAGGAAAGCCAAATGCTATTTCTTTGAAGTCCTGTGACCCAGTGCTGACTATGTCTCTATGGAGAGGACAGACAGTGAGCCACATGGCTGTAAATCACGGCTTAATGCTTTCTGGCTGCAGCAGACCCCTCCACACTCCTCTGTTCGGCCCTGTGGGCCCTTCCAAGCTTTCTCGTGTTTTGTGAGCGTGAGGACATTCATCCACCTCACAGCAGAAGCTCGCGTTCAGATGAACAATAAGTTAAGTTAAGTTGTTCTTAAAGGCGCTCTGCTGTCATACGTATTCAGGGATAAACATACTTTACAGTACGATCTTAAGTCAGTCTTTTCCTAATCTGCTTAATGAATTACTGTATTCTTTTGTTAAATAACTGATTTATTTTTACACAAAACTGTTTAAACTGAACAACCTGAACACCGTATTCATCCATGATATTTATCAAGAAAATAATGTCAAATTTTTACTTTCCCCCCCAACTTGGATTGGCCAATGCCTTTTTACTGTAGTCCTTGTTACTGCTTACTTCTCTGGAAATCAGTTCAACAAATGAACTTTCTTTTATTTCTATATTTAATCATCCAACCTGCTAGGTGTGTGGTAATGTACATATATGACCTAGTGATTAGAGGGACTTTGTGATTAAAAGATGGCCGCTTGGATTCTTCCAACAGTAAATACGTACATCCATAGTGTACAATCACATGTGCTGTTTTATGAAGACACTGAACCTGTGCATGCTGCATGAATGTCAAAATCATAAATACACTGCTCAGATTTACAGCAGCTTTCAGCATAGAGCAGAATATGGACGTGATCTACAGGGCTATATCAAACACATTTTTGGAGGAGATGCACCTTACTTTAAACTTTTTTTTGGTGTTTTTCTTTGATGTTTTTCTTGAATTTCCTTTTAGTTTCTTTTTAGCCCGAGATCCCACGAGACCCATTCTACAAATTCAAAACATATAAGCAAACTACAAAACGTACATTCACTCAAGAGGAGGTTTTGGTAAGTGAGATTTGTACCTGTACTGTTAAAGTACACAATATATACCCCATATTTCACCGAACAGCACAATGGGTTATTTTTCCCACGTGTTGGCCTCTACAAGTTAATTCAGCGTCTCCCCAGGTAGGGCGTGACATGGGAAATTGTGCCGGTGATTTATGGTCCAAAGGCAGAACCTGAACCAAAACATGTCGAGAACTGGTTCCTTTTTTTTTTATTGCAGGGACATAGTGTATCAGAGGTGCACCAACACATGGACTGTCCAGATGCTGTAAGGCTAGCGTACCTGGTGCCTGTCAAGGCTTACAACAGCAAATGCATAACACAAACGCTGTGTTATAAGTAACTGTATTCTGGATTAATCAGCATGACTACAGCAGGGGAGCAATGTGTAAATCCCAAACATGTGACACAGGAAGCTGCTTTACTTGTTTTCGTCTAGTCAGCTACCATCTACTTCATCTACACTATGCTCAAGTGTTTGCCGATCTGAATCATTTTACAATCAAGGAACAGGAAGGTTTTTGAATGGATTCCTGAAGTTGAGCATTTGAAGCTGCTCTGTTTTCATCTGAGAGCAGCGATCTCTGTACCTAATATTCAGCCTGACAGGGCTTGAAGCCGACCTCCTTTAGCTGGATAAGATTTACAATAGAACAGTCAGTTTCAGGCCAGCCATGATAATAGAGTGATGGGCTGTTGTGCAGACCATTCTAATGGGACTTGACTGTCGCGGATCAGTGGGGATTTATGCTCCACTTGGCGAGTACGCCCTTGAGAGGCCAACTGCTGCACAACGATAGCAGCTCACACACAGTCCTTGGCTGTCTGACGCTTTGTCGGTCTACCTGAATTAAACACTTGGCACAATGCACGAACATATGCATGCACCTATAAATTTGCACAAACTCGCACACAGTCCTCTGCTTATTGGAGGAAGGATAAACGCCTCCCCCCCCCCCCAATGTGGTTTCAAACACACACACACACGTACACTCAGACAGAGCAGCCACCGCTAGACCATGTGTGCCAATATATTGTACCAGTGTTTTAGCGACATACACCATATGATAGATAGTTAGTGGTATTAAAAGAAAAACTACAACGTTGTATAACCGCAGACACCGTAATGTCTTTTCAGCACCATTTGTCGCCGGGTGGCCCCTTTGAACTGCTAATGTCTGAGCTGCTGGAGGCAAATTGAATCACCATCATTTCCACCCAAATGGAATTTCAGTGGTTAAAAAAGAACAATGCAAGTCTTGACACCAGGCCTGTTCAATAATCAGATTCCCAGCTCCCAATGCACAGGGGGACTGGAGAAGAGAGTTGACCCAATATATTTAAAAGCCTGCTTCCTGGAAAAGGAGGACAAGTGGCAGCAGGCGCAGGGGTTGAAAGAAAGATAAATATTTATTACAGTTATCGAGTTTGCCTCTACTCCCTCCTGATCCCACTGAGGCATCAGACGCGCCAAGAAAAGAGCAGATTGATGGAGATAATTTGTTATTGGATATAAACAGTTTTAAAGACGCAGAGTAATTCTGCCCAGAGACCTAATCCCTCACAATCTCATCAGGGTGAAGAAAACACCGGCAAGTTGTTTTGTTTGTCACCATCTTTTTTTCCCTCCCACCAAACAATAATATCTTCCTCCCAAAGCATTTGGCTGTTTGACTTTCAAATCAAAGGCATTAGCCAGTGTACTCTTGCTCAAGGCGGGTGTAAATATGCACATGTGCTGTGAATGACAGCTCTGTCATGGCTAAATTAATTATTTGTACGAGGCAAATAATGGCAGAGCTGAGAAACATCTATACACACAAAGAAACACATGGAGGGATACACAGGAAACAGCAGTAAGGCCTCTTTGTAAAGCTTCTGTGATATTGGACAAATGTTTGTTGGTATGGCTCTTCCATCTTGACAGATTGAGCACGATCTGGTTTTGTTTGGTAATTAAAATTATAGTACAATGCTGCTCATTCTATTTGATTCGTTGCTGGACCAAGCGCAATCTGTCTGAGTGTACAAGATGATTTAGTCGTCATGTTGCTTCATGCCCTGCTTTTCATCTGTTTTTCTGTTGTCATCGGTTGTTGTCTTTTCATTATAATTAATTAAAAACACACGATGAAAATAAGAAATCTCAACTCTTGTCCCATTCTGCTGGCCGTTTTTGCCCCACGATGTTTTATTAGATAGTTATTGATGATAGCCAGTGAACTATTCTTCGCTGCTCTGTTTGATGATCGTTGGTGGTATCGTCGGCATGTTGTGATAGATTTCTCTTCCGTGTTTCCACCAGATGACCTGAACAGTACCCACCAGCACTGTGTCCTGGCTGGAGAGACCGCACGCTTCAGCTCTACTCACAGAGTGGCCGAGGTGAGAAGCCAATAGGCTTAAAAGGGAAAATGCAGTCTTTTGAATTTGTTGTGAAAATGCTGTATAGCGAGCCAACAGTGCCCTTTGATTTCAGTACGGGCTGCTGGTACTTTGACGTTATATTAGGGAAAGACTGCACATAATGAAAGACTTAAACACTCGTGTTTTCATTGAAATTAAAGTATTCTATGATCTCTATTGGGTGAAAAGAAATGTGAAGATGTATGAAACCTTAAAATAGATAACGTTTGTCCTGGACACCATTAACTGGTAAATTAATGGCATTTGCAGTACATAGCTATGTTGAATTGAAGAGACTGTGTGTGTGTGTGTGTGTGTGTGTGTGTGTGTGTGTGTGTGTGTGTCAGAAACAAACATTCTCACACTTGAACTTAACGTTTGGATTGTATTTTGATTGACAGGGCCCTAGCCAAACCCTGCATGGCAGTTATTTGTATAACACTGGGTTTGTCCCTCTCCCACCAGTGTTCCAGTGGGACCCTGACCTACATCCAGTCGCGGTGTCAAGAGGCCCTGTCCAACCTGCACACTGACCCAGAGACGGGCTCCCACAGCCTGCTGGCCCTGCTGCCAACAACGCTACAGCACTGTGAGGAGATTCACAATGAGGTGGGGACATGGTGTGTGTGTTCACATGCTCATCCGCATGTGTGTGTGTTTATGTGCTTTTCTGTGTGTGTCTGTTTTGCATGATTGCACACACGTGTCTGTGATTTTTGCATAATTTCAACTGTTAACGTTTGTATTGGGACTGTTGAGTTTGTATTGGTGTTCATTTTTAACTTGTAGCATCCTGTTGTTGCCCTTATTACTACTTTTGCAGGGGGTCTGAAACAAACAGCATTTGAAAATATTTGAAATTAGTTTGGCCTGCTTTGAGTACTGGATGAGTAAGGCTCGCCACATTGGACAACAGAACATGTGCCAATAAAGTTTCGACAATAGCGTGCCAGTCTTCTTTTTCTTCTGATGCTGTAGTCCGCGATCATTTGGCACTCCAAGGACTGTAAAGATGGCAAACAACCATCTGCATCAGGACAGAATCAAAAGGAAGAGGGGAAGATATCAGAAATGATCATGGAATATAGAGAATTTAGATTCTTAATAATATGGATGAATAATGTATTTGATCAAACATATGCATTTGTGCTTTTATAGAATAATCTACTTGACTAACAACACAGCATTTCAATAAATACACGAACAACATTTTGTTAATTGAAACCGTGCATAGCGTATGTAAAATTATAGTCAAATGAATTGAGCTGCACTAAAGTCCAGGTACTCTCAATCCTGGTTTGAATAGTCCTTTGCATATCCTCTGCATCATGGGATTTACAGACCATACTGGCTGTCCACTGGTAGCAGGTTAAAACACTGTAAACGGCAAAATGCGAGCTCGCCAGCTTTCTACCTTCTTACCTGATTGTTTCTACCCAGGGAAAAGCCTCCAATGTGAAATCCAGGTTGTTCCCATTTGTCCTGAACTGGTGATGGATTGTGAGGCAGTAGCGTATCCATATGTTATCTAAAGATGGAGTCATGCCCCGCTCCCCTCGCTAACCTCTATTCCCACAGAAGGAGTGATGGTATAGAGGGATAGAGCGAGGTCAAAATAAGAGGAACGCGAGGGGCCGCCTGCGGAGCCACCAGCCCCTTGTGCTAGCTTTGCCGCAGGCCAACAGTTAATATAGCACGTCACCTCTCCCCCCTTTTACACCCCTGGGCTCAAAGCGTGCATCCTAGCCGACGCTAGCACCCAGGCTCCTCAGCGGGACGCCATGACAGATGAGTCTGACGTAAGGTTGTTTAAAGGTTGTAGACAATATTAATTATTCAGCACTGCCAAACAATAGGTGCTGTCTGTGTCAGGAGGAGCGCTGCGCTAGTTGAGCTAGCAACACCTGCTAGTTTGCCGCATAGCGCCACAGGATTAACAAGCATAGGCCCCCCCACCAGGAGGGCAAAGCAGGTTTATTCAGGAACGCCAGGATGCTATTTATAACAGAGCAGGTGTGTGTGTGTATGTATGTGTGAATGTTTAAGTAAGGGGGGTGCTCTCGGGGGGCTCAACCCAACCCTACCTGGCACTCACAATGATAGATGTGGCCATTTGTTTGGAGTTGCCCACGAGAGCAGAACACCCACTTAAATGATGTATTGTTGGTGCGGTTATTTATGATGGCGGCCCACTTTGGTGCTTGGCGGGTGCATATTGCGTTGGTCGTGTTTGACACGGACGACCGAGGAGCGAACAAGCCTGAAACGCGCAGGCAGCCTGACCTGAGCAGTGCCTTATGGGCCTTTCCTTAAAAAGCGCTAAACAGAAAGCTAGCGCCGTTTGACATGCCACGGATATATTGTGCAACGCGGTGGGGGTGGAGGTTGACACTTGTCAGAAGACGTGGGCGGGTCTGACGATGATGAAGCAGAGCGTCTGCCATCTGAGTACGAGTTGTTCAGGGATGGGGCGGGATGTCGAGTTGAAGTAGGGGTTGATGGGAGACAGAGACAGAAATGAAGAAAACTGAAGTTCCCACCTGTTTGTTAAGCGTGGTCCCTCTCACTGTCTCTTTTTAATCTTTCCTCCTGTCTTAGGGTTGGGGGGGGGGGGCGGGTAGTCTAACATAGCATCGCCACATGGCCCCCTTGTGCATGTTTGGCTTTGAAATGCTAATCCCAGATGCAAACGTCTTGTCTCATTTAAAGCCACTGTGTCACTTCCCAGGTGGGTGTGTGACAGAGTGCCCTGAGGGACCCCCTCTAATGATGCTAGTCCCCCCACGGTAAATATTGAAGGGAGGGACAAGGTTTTGCCACATGTTCTGACAGAAAGTAAACTGTGTGGAAGCAGGTGTGCGTGACCTTCCAATGTCCTGTTTTCAGGCCACAACGTCTCCCCAGGCGCTACGGTATTTGCTTGGCTTTGAAACACCTGTCCTTAGGGCCTCATGCTGGCAATATCATTGTAATCGTATAAATCACCTCTCAAAACACCAGCAGATCTGTGCAGTTCGGAGTTTGTACTGTTGTATCTCCCAGTTTCATTAGCCTTTAATGCTGTTTTTAATTAAAGTGAGACATTCTACCTGTTCATTTTAAGGTTTTATTGTTTTGTTTTTCTTTGAAGATCACAAGGGATACAATATTCTCAAAGTGAATGCGTTCCACACTTTCTGAGCTCAGTGGAATCATGATCAGGCCAAAGGTTCTTATGACTTCTACATACGTATGTGGCCTGAGACAGAAAGAAAAAAAATGAATCTCCTACTATTTTATGTATGTAGAAAGAAATAGAAAGGTAATCAGTGCATGTACAGTGTAACCTAGCCTGTGTATGACCACTGGCAAGTGTGTGATGAGTGTAAATTGCGTGCCTGGTTGCTCACAGAGAGATGGGGGGAGGGGGGGTACCAGTTCTCCTGGCTGATGTGTGAGGAGGCCTGGAAAAGTAAACAGAGGACGGCAAAGAGTGGGATCGAACCAACTCTCATCAGCTCCCACCTCAGGGCCACGGCAATGGAAATTGATTGGACCCGCTCAGGGAATACCGTGAAGGTGTTGGAAAGAAAAAGAAAACGTGGCTCATTAAATGGGGAAAAAAAAGGGGGCTGCTTTGCTTTAACTCCAGACTTGCCATGGTGGGCGGCCAGTCGACTAATGTGGGGCTAATGTGTAGTTAGTGTGTCCATCTCCTGCAGAGATGACAGCCACTGCCGCAGGGGAGCCACTAGCTCCCCTCTCGCTCCCCCACGCCGTCTCAGAGAAAAACTAGCCCTAACAACCACTCTCTCTTTGGCACACACTTTCGATCTGTCTGCCTGGATAGGTGGCATTTAGTCCGAGTTCCCCTCTTGGTAACTCTCAGCTGGGCGGCCGGACTCCAAATGCCACATAGCTAGCACTCCTCAGTAGCTTCAGATGGCCAGCTTTGTGGCTGCCACTGGCCTGCGCAGTGGGGGACAGGCAGCCATGTCGGCTCAAAGTGGAGAGACACAGGTTGGTTTCTTCTCACTAAAGGACAGGCAGACAATCGGAGAGATGGAAGGAGGGACTGACACAGAGAAAAGGGACGTCCGATATCGGCGCTCTTGCGGCTTTGTTGTGTGTTTGAGCTGTAGTGATCGAAGGGGAGTGGATTTGGAGGGTGTTGAGGGGACCATAAAGGATGACATTTCTTTGAAGGGCGGGTTGTATGGAGTGAGTGAGAGGCTGCTGAGCAGTGCCACTGGCTGTGAATTCTCCCTGACATGCTCCAGTCCTTGCATGTCATCCCCGCTGTGATCAGAGCCTTTCGGAAGCAAATGGCAGGATGATTCTGTGCACAGTTTCTACCGAAGGCAGACCTCACTCAAGTTGTTTATGCAAATAATTCGTGCCCTTTGTATTAACTTGCTCGGGGTGCGGGGCAGTAGGTGACTTGCTTAATAGCATATCCCAATGACCACTTGCTTCTTTGGCCACAAGTCACTTTTCAAAGTTCCGAAGCTATTCGACCACTATGATGAAGAGACAAACCTTTCTGCCACAGATTATGCCCATACACACAATTAAATTGCATTGGCAAAGATATTGGGGGACAAAACTTCCTGCTACCCGGACTATGCTTGCTCGCAGGGCATGACTCCATCTTTTGTTCCAATGCAAGATCTTTTCACTTCCTTGTACTGCAGGGTGGCTGCCATGCTAAGCACTCAACATCAACAATACAGACCGGTGTTCACGTTTCATCTCATGTTTCAAGTCAGTGACAGCATCGACTTTTCAATACTTAACCAAGACGTGCTCTCTGTTTATAGCCCTCCGAAACTTGTAGTGCATTTAGTTATATATATATATACAGTATGAGCATAATTTGTTACAAACAGGATGAAAGTGGATGACTGGTGAACAAAAGCATATTTGAATGGAGACTTTTTTAGGTAGAACTTACCCGCTTAAACCTTGTTGCTACTATTTACGAGTTTGCAGCTCTGAAAGGGGTCTGTTGTTTACATTGGATAATGCTCTGTTGAAAGAACAATGAACTAAATAGTTTTCAGAAAAGGAACAATAGCTCTCTCTGTCCCATTTGATATGCGACTCCTTTATACGCAGCGACTTTTTGTGTTGTACAGTTGTCGGCGTCAAAATGAAATGGAGCGTGCATTGTTTTGGGTGGATGATGCTTTGTAGGACGTTTTGGGGGAGGGCAACCCGCAGCGTCTCGCGTTTACGTTGGCGGCAATTGGGGCAATCTTTGACACTCACATTGGCAATTGTATGCAGAGATGTTAACAAAGCCACTCACAGAACCTATGTAGACAGATACACACAAGGGCGCGAACATACCGCGGCACATACAGGTACAAACACACGAATGCACAAGGAACGACACACTTAGAAATAGATAGGCTACACCTGGCTACATGAAGCATCCTTGCGAGGTTTAAATCAGCACTTCAAAAGAGCAGGAAACAAAAACACTCCCAGCGGAGGAGAGGCTCGGCAGCCGAGACTGTCATCTCCAGACGGAGCGAGGGAGTGGGAGAGGAGGGGAAGGAGGGAGGAGAATGAGGAGAGGAGGAGGAGGGGGCGGAGTTTTCAGGTGTGCTGACTGGAAGGTGTGTGTGAACAGACGTATTCATGTTTGTCTGGGTGTTTTTGGTGAGGGTGTGATTCTACTCAGAGAGATGACCAACGTTTGTCCTGTTTGATTTAGGACAATTTGTGACTCATGCAATTAAAAAAAATGTGACTTTGCTGTGTTTTTCCTTTCAAAGATCTCATAAATATTATTATATATACTTATATTTTAAATTAACATATTTAAAAGGGCAAATGGATAGACCTCATGCCCAAAAATAAAAAATAGGACATTTCGAAATATTTATTTATGCAGTTTTTATAAAATAAATTATTTGTTATTGTCTTAATACAAATAGAAATTTACTGAGACACAAAAACGCCGATATTGTACATGTAAGTATAAAGGTGAACACTGAAATATTTTATTATGATATCATTTTGGAATAAAATGGCGCTAATAAAGCAGTTGTCAATGTATTTGTTTGTGGACATGTATGATATTATACAGTACCAAAAGAAAGTTTGTTTCACATGAATATTTCACAATTTAGAGTAATATATAAAATTGTTTATCCTCTACAATAATTGAAATATTATGCTGTAATGTTTAATGTTTTACCTGAGGAGCAGTGACAATACTCATTAGTCGTTTACGTAAAGCCATGGGAGAATTGGTCTGAACCACCTTTTTTAAAAATCTTGTTTGCATATGTGTGTGTGTGTGTGTGTGTGTGTGTGTGTCTGTGTCTGCAGGTGGAGTTTGAGTGGCTGCGGCAGTATTGGTTTCAGGGCCAGCGCTTCGCCCGCTTCTGCAGCTGGTGGACCGGACCGATGGAGCAGCTGGAGAAGGACTGGAAGCTCATGGAGACGATGGTAAGGCCGCTCAGACACACTGCTGGCCTCACTGTCTGGTCTCTGCACCTCGGTAGTTTACTGAACCCGTTTTCATTACTCTACTAATCCTTTAGTGGCTGAACTAAATGCATTTCCTTTTAATGTACGGGCTGTTTCTTCAGTGACATACACACTATCCTCAGTCCTAGATGTTACAGGGATTCCATTCCTGTTTTAGAAAATACATGAAAGGAAAAACATCGCATGAAATATCTTTTTTGATATACAAAATCAGTTTGATAATAATAATAATAATAAAACTTGAACTAGAAAAGAAAAAATATATAATAATACAACTTTTCTACCATTGCCCCAAAATATGAGCAGTTCCAGTGTATGCAGTCTGTCATTTCATAATAAGGGTTTTCAGCTTTCTAAATGCTTAACATGCCTGCGCTTGTGCTTCTTAAACAAACTACATAAGTGATCTGCTGTCCAATAATGTTCTTCACACGTTAGGGTGTGTTTATAATGACATGATGGATTGTCTAACTTCTCACCACGCTGCGATATTAAGGATGTGTCATGTGTTAAATTGCAGCTTCACAGAAGTTTTATTAGAGAGGAACGTGGGCACGCAGCTATTACTTAAGACACCACTGTAAAGGAATCACTTAGTAATGTCAGACTCATAATTAAGTTACCTTAGTCACAGCTCTGTACAATACATATGTGACGCATACACACGCGCACACACACACACAGCACTGTAGATATGCAGCACACAAAATCACACGTAAACATGCTTGGTCTCGCTTTCTCGCCCTCCCTGCAGGTTATTTGCAGTCTGTCTCTCATAGCTAGATTTCAAAGAGTGTGTGTGTGTTCATGTATGTGCGTGTGTTTAATACCCAGACAGCGGAAGCAGCAGGGGGCACTCTTGTATCACTGTAGCAGCAGCAGCAGCAGCGGCGGCGGGAGCGAAAGAGCTGCGCTCCTCTTTTCCTCTCTGCTCCGTCTCTCTCTCTCTCTCTCTCTCTCTTTCTCCTTCTCCGTGTCTCTTTATGTCTCTCACCCTCTCCTGCTGTCTGTGGGAGCTCTCTGTCTCTGTCAGTGTCGAGCGCTGAGCAGTAATCACATCTAATGCTCAGGCGGGGATAAAGGCAGGAGCTGGAGGAGAACTGTACTGCTGCCGACGCTGTTCGGCTCCAGCCGTAGTCTCTCTCCTGCACTTCCCTCTCTCTCACTTAGTCGAACAGCCTGGCAGAGGGTGGGTGGGTGGAGGGGTTAGTAGACAGGGGCTAAACTCATCTAGAGCTCCACCTCCGGGCCCAGATGAAGTGTGTGATTTGGACCTGTATTTAGAAAAGGGCATCAGTGAAATGTGAGGTCTTTCTCGCTGTCTCTCTCTCTCTTTGTTGCTGTCTCAGCCCGTCTTTAATGGAGAAGAAAACCATATCCACTGTGTGTGTGTTTGCGTGTGTGTCACTCATGTGGATTCCTGACGTGCTGTAGAAACGTACAATACAGCAAATACAATGCGCGACTAATAAAATAAATATTAATATCTATTTGAAAATTATATGTAGTATTATTTTTTTTATATTTGTAACATCTGAAGTTACTCTGATTTGTGTTTATTTCAACATTAGTAATTTCACAGTTTAATCACGTGTCAAATCACACAAAACCAAGTATATCTTCTGCGGAGACGCATATTGAACCGTCGCAAAAACAATACACTGGTGAGTGCAGAAATGTAATCACTCACTATTGCGATGAAAGACAACATTATTGCTCTCGCAAGCAATATTTACATACATGCATCAACCTCTGATATGCTGATGAAAAGCACTCTATAGATGTGACTTATAGATTTTCCTTTTAGAGGTTTTGATAGCTGTAGCTTTTTTCGGCAGCAAGATTAAAACGCATTCCTCTAAATTACTTTGAGTTATTTTAGATTATGTGGGTTCCCTCTACATTCCTTTATTGCATATATTTTACATTTGGAAGCTGGCAATTGACAGTAGAGTGTAATTTAGTGAAACGCGAGTGACCTACTGGGTGCAGATGCTGTTTGCCATATATTTATTTAGAATTTTTCTGTTCTTGCCTGCAGTTTATTTTAATACAGCATTATTTTTGTCAAATCCAACATCACCATGGGTATTTTAAAATAAAAAATACATGTCTCTTTAAATAGGGTTTATGAATTGACACCGTGTTGTTTTATACTCTGTGCTGTAGCAATAAAACAGCCAATTGTTTTATCCTGCTAAAATAGCAATACAAACAGCCAACCTCCCTCTCTTTATTGTCATATTTAGCACACAGTGTTGTGGGATGCGCTGGGCTATGTATGCGTTTGTTAGTCTGTATGAAGAATATTGCAATATGGGGGGGGGGCTAGCTCCTGTTTATGGATACTGTCTCTCCCTGGGGCTCCCTCTCTGCTCCTCAGCCTGTTGTCATGCAAATGCTTATCCTTCTATTTGAATGACATTCTGATAAAATACATAAATAAATAAATAAATAAATAAAGAACCAACAAAAAAAAAAAAGTCCACTTGCTTGCTCGTCTCTTTTTGGTATTTTCTTGATAGAAACAAAGAGACTCGCTGCTGAATAAACTTCATGTGGAGGTATGTGAATGTACAGCAAGCGTGTACTGTTTGTGTGTGTGTGTGTGTGTGTGTGTGTGTGTGTGTGTGTGTGTGTGTGTGTGAGAGCTGTTTAGTGTATATAAGGTAAAGGTTGTTTCTGGAGAAAAAAAGGACATTAACTTAAAGGTTTTATGTTCCCCTGTGATCCAGAGTGCTAAAGTCTGTTTTGACCTGCCGCGCTTGCAGCTTTGCGTCCCCTCAGGACTCCACTATCGTGGCCGTCATACAATAGTGACATTTTCTAAAACTAGCTACAATGAATAGCTTCCGTCTGACTGACAATAGACGGAGAGTCTTGGCTTTATGCAGAATATATTAAATACCAGTGTGGCATTTTTTTTTTTAATCTTTCCTCTCTTCACTGTGGGGGAGAAGCGACAGCGACGAGCCCATGAGCACGTCTCCCCCCTTTTTTTTTTTTTTTCTGTCCTGTGCATGTGTGTGTGTTTGTGTGCGTATGTGTGTGCCATTGATGTTAATGTATGCACTTGGCATGACTTTAATTGATTTAGCAGCTCTGCTCGCACAGTACAGCTTTTTCCCTAATTTGTCACTTTCCTGACTTCTGTGGCTGCTCATCTCACAACTTCAAAAGCCACCGCGGAAGCAAAGAGATTTCAGTGCACTCCGTCTCCCTCTCTCTCCCTCTCTCTCTCTTCGTGTTCTTTCTTTCCCATGTTTTTCTCCCTCTCTTGCTCCCGGTATCTCGCCATAGCTCTGTCTCTTTCTCACACTTTCTCCCTCATTTGACAGGAGAACGAGCCTTGTAGATGGAAATCTTTTCAACACACATCAAGAAAATTAATCTACTTTCATAATAAATGGGATCCACTCAGTTGAATACATTTGTATACTTCAAGATGTACAAAACAGGAAGTGGTATCGGGGCCATGTCTTCCTCTACTCCGTTCACCCAGCCTGTCACTCCCTGTTTTCAGACGGTTTGGTCACACACACAGACATACATATGCTGTACACTCTTTCTCTTTGTGTGACACAATTTACCTCCTCCGATTTGTAATAGAGGCTGACTTTTGCGTGCGTGCACGCGTGGGTGAATGTGCAGGGATGCGCTTAGTGACCGTATCATCTTCTCCCCTCACTTTAATAACTGTCTTCGGAAACAATCTGGGCTGTTGAGGAGGCTCGCACTGCGATAATACGCAGCCTGGCCCGGTCGCCATCGATAGCTGATTAGGTTATTGACCTAGCGCGTGGAGGGCCGGTGCTGAGGAGTGGTCGGGGAGGGAGGCCAGTGAGCTGCAGGGAGAGACACAGAGAGGGGGAGGAGAGTGGGGTTGTGTGTGTGTGTGTGTGTGTGTGTGTGTTGGGGAGGTGGGGTGGGAGGGGGTCAATGTAAATGTTATTGCTGTGTGAGCTCATTTGATCAAAGTCCTGGAAAGGTTAAGCGAATCCAATCTGGTTTTGTATGGCAGAGTGGAGACACAGGCGCTGGGGAAGAAACCCCCAGGACGGAGAATGGATTATCATATTGGCGCTGGAGTAGCAGGGGCCTCCGATGGACAGTTTACCCTGCCCGTAATGCGTTTAGACAGCAATTGGCCTTAATAACCTTTATTGACTTCAGCGGGTCAGTGCCAAGAATCTAATTATCAAAGTGTATCAATTTCATTGGAGTTTAGAGTTGCACCGCTCAAAATAATTATTTTAAGGTCGGGCCGGGGCAATTAATCCCCTCTCCACTTATTTGATGGCTTTGTAAAACATTCTAAATGTTATGGTTTCTGTAGCGCGTTTCACCGTAAATAATTTCAGGGAGCAATTCTTTGTAATGCATTATTTGGAGAGCTTGCCATGCCGGTCCTGCCGCGGGAAGAAGGCAGCGTATTCCGGTAAAGCCAGAGGCCGCAGCTGAATCGTGTTGCAGATGTTTACCAGCAGTCATTTTTCTCTTTTCGCTCGCCATTTTACTTGCACAGTCGGGCAGAGTTTTACACCCACTTTATATGCACACATGGAACCCATGTGAACTAAGCGGTAAACTGTTTAAAGACCATTTATAGTGCTCATTATGAAGCCATTTATTATCTCTTGCATTAAATCACACTGTGTTTATGCATCATATTGTTTTGCGTTTTAAGCTCTTTACTTGGGAAATAGGCTTATACATTTATTATATTCCAATTCTTTGTGGTTCTAACGCGCATATGCAGTGTGTGTCTGTGTCTTTATATATGTGTGTGTGCAGTGTGCGAATGAAAAAGGTAAACGTGCAGCTGCACAGTAGTTTATCCTTCATTGACAGTCAATACGTGCTGTTACCTGGATAGTAGCAGCTGTTTTTCCTTATCGCACAACATAGACTAGAGGCCTAATCCACACACTCATTATTGCATGGCCTTGTTTACCCGC